ATATGTACGATTTGGGGGTATTTCTCGTGCAACGCATCACACCGCAGCGAAACGCAACTAATGCGAAAGTAAGTACGCCACCGGAGTGCAAAAAAAGTCAAGGGTCTTTGACCTGATGAAGACTTCTAATTATTGGGAAATATTGTGTAAAAAATGCCAGCAGGACAAGGGAAGGAACCAAAGTGTATGTTATGTATATTTGGGGGCACTATGGTCACGCACACGACTAAATAGTTCGTGGTGCCACCAAAAACTATCAGAATGTAGGCAAACATGATTGACAGCCTTGTTTTCAAGTTTTTTTTTATCTATGTCTGCTCTCACTCAGCATTAGCAGCTAGCTGGACTGCCTAGAAAGAACGCTGTCAAAGTTTTGCGCTGAGGACAGAATTAACTTCACGTTTGAATCTGTGTCCCTGATCTTAGCGATCTCCTTCGGAAGACCTTTCCAACGTTTAACAGTTGTTAGTACTCTCACTCAGCATTAGCAGCTGGACTGCCTAGACAGAACGCTGTCAAAGTTTTGCGCTGAGGAAAGAATTAACTTCACGTTTGAATCTTTGTCCCTGATCTTAGCGATCTCCTTCGGAAGACCTTTCCAACGTTTAACAGTTGTTGGTACAAAGGTTCTCATATGATTGATGGTGTGAGAGACAGGGACCACCACAGTGCGGATTTGATTTTGTTTAGGTAATTTAGGATTTAGCTTTAAGGATTTATTCTACCTTTGGTTACAGGAAGAACTTCCCAACTTCGTCCATCTGGGTGTGTCTGTTGAGCAGGAGTACTCGGCCCTGATGAGCATACTGAAGTACTTCTTCCTGACACGTTTCTCCATCGTCACAAGTCTGCACACCGGACACAAGGCGTTCATCAGATACTTCGAGGAACAGGTAGAGAAGGAAGGTCAGTAAGTTTTCATGTTTTTTTATCGATTGACATGGACACAATGGTAGGCAACTCTAGCAGGTTGCTCATCTTAGCCCCACCACTGACAAAGAACAGAGACGGGGGGCGCCACAGACTTTCTACAACCTATGATCCGCTGGTCACGTAGTCACGTGTGTTATCTGAAAATTTGGGTGAGTCCAATTTGTTGTGTTGGAAATTACAGTTTAAACTTGCTTCATACTGACAAAGAAGAGTACATACAGTGGAGAATGGTAAATAAGAAAACAGCAACAAGTGACAAAACAACAAATAACAAAACAGCAAATGGGCGATATAAACTATGAAAAAAAGTATCGTAATGTTTTGAAAAAGAATGGGGTTTCGTAGGCAGTTGAACACATTTAGTCAAGTGTAAACCGTTTTGAGTGAACAATGTAGGATTAAGGTAAGGTCAAGATATGTCTGTTTTCAAACAGACATATAAACTTATGGAAGCAATAAATTAGTGCAAGCTTGTTCAGACAGATTTTGCACATCGAGAATTGGGCCTACTAAGTTTTCATGTTTCGCATAACAATGAGAACTTCGAATCATATAGCCTACTCTACAAACTCTACAAACTATAATCAAACGTCTACGATAATACCCATGCATAGCTGATATAGCCATAGCTAAACACATATCAGGAAAATTACATTTAAGACAATGTACCGCATGCAAATAATGACATTCATGGCTCGCAACAGAAGACATAAAAAAACTTTTGCCGGTGATCTTAGACCTATTTCCATCAACTAACTAAGGTGTCTTCAAAAATACTACTTCTAGACTCTTACTCCTGAAACGTCGCCAACTTCGAATAAAATAAATGTCAACGGTGGCAAATTAGGCAATCTCAAGTAGGGTAGCCGGTCACGTAAATGCCAGTTTTATGCTCACTCTACCTCATTAATGCGTCGTTTGACCGTATAACGTCTAGTCTCATTCCAACACGAGCCATAAATGACCGCAGAAGCAACAGTAAACTTGGTCTGTTGGCGCCGGTCTAAGTATCAAAGAAGATTCTAGAAGCAACAGAAATCCTACAGTGCCAGAATTCCTCGTCTTTGAAAAAATGAGATACGTAGAGTCAAATGATCACACACCTCCGCAGTTTTGAAGGTATTGCTGTAATTGATGTTTCTTATCTATTTATTTATTTATGAAGATCCCTCGATATGGTGCCGCTGGGGAAGACGGATGCCCAAGTGTGTGGGTCTCAGATTCGCAACCTGTTATCCACCTTAAACAAATCCACGCGAAGGCCATCGTGTCAACTGTAACCCTCACTCAGGTGGAGGGACTGACACGGTCATCCTACTCGGAAATCTGTATCTGTATACATGTAGCTGTACATGGATCTGTATCTGATTGCAAATAAAGATATGGAGTGTTTCACATCTATTTATTTATGAAGATTCGCCACATTCATGGAAGGATTGACATAACAGCTGACTATCACATCTTTAAAGATGTTAGGATACAACCACTCACATCGGCAGTGACCCCTGCTTTTTTCGACAAGTGTGGTTGCTTGGATGTTTAACGTTCTTAAATTGTGGCTCTCCTTAAGCAGAAAACCTGCTACCCGAGAAGACGTCCCTAACCGAAGTTAGGTACTGATATAAACAGGTGTTATGTTCCTTTCCCAATAAATGAACATAAGACAACTGGATGCTTGTGATAATAAATCTATTCTATTTTATTTTTTTTTATTGACATAGATTTGTGAGCATTGGTCAAAAAGGGATCCTTTGCTCATGAAACATAAAAACATAAATACTGCAGGTTGGGGTAACAAATACAAAAAGTATTGTGGACATAAAAGGAAAATGGCTGGCGCACTAATGGAACCCAAAAGAATGGAATTTGATATTTTGATAAATAGAACTTTTTATGAACTTGCTATTTTATCAACAGGTGACGCCTGGGGTGTGGAAAACGTCGTGACGCTTGACCTGGACAGTATGGACATGATGGACCTGTACATGTCTCTAGTGGACATAACCCCGGGTATCATCCTGCTGTACTGCACCAAACAGGAGGCCACCGTCCTCCTACCGGCGGCGGACCTAGTCGGCATGTTCTCCGAGAACTCCGTCTGGATCGTGCCGGAGATCGTCATCGGTGACTTGGACAGCGCCCTGTCGGCCCCGTACGAGTACCCGGTGGGCCTGCTGGGGATTAAGTACGAGAGTCCGGCTTACAGCACCAGGAGGATGACCCAGGACGGTCTGTCTGTGTACAGGACGGCCATGGAGAAGTACCTCGCCAAGGGAGACGTGTTCGATACGTTTATGAGTGACACCTGTTGGAACTACACCACACGGACTAAAAGTGTCGGCGTAACTTTTAAAGAGTAAGTTTTTTTCTTATTTATCCTCGTTCGCTGCACTCACTCGGTAGCTTTATTCGGTGGTTATAGCAAATGGCAAGGCTTTATCACACGATATTCACCTCGGGGCGGGTCATTAACCTTAAATATTGTATGTATCAGACAATCATAAAACTCTGTACATGCGTACATATCTATACAAGATCTGAATGTCGTTTTACATACTAACCTTTGCTCAACCGGGACGGGGGTCGGTACCGACTTCCGGGGAACTTTGAACTTTGAACGTTTTTTTTTTTATTGAAACATATAATAACAAGACATGGTGGCGACACACTCAAGATACACTTATATTCGTGTCGCCACCAGACAATACATAATACATACAACAAGCAAAGCACAGATAACATTGAAATCGAATACTATGATGAATCAATGGACAGGTGAAACAGATATATGAAATTGCTAACGGAATTAATTAATCAACTATGTTACAAAAAACGGCGAGATTCCAACAAAAATTCCTGGACATGCTGTAGTAATTGTATATTGTACGTTGTTGAGAAAGAAGAAGAGCCATTTAAAAGAATATGTAGCAGAGTATCATCAGAAAGATTATCCAAAGTAGTAGAGCCAATCAGTGTTATCAAGTTGTCAAAAAAGGGATAATTTCGTTGTTGAATGTAGTTAGGGCAGTGTAACAAAAAGTGACAAATATTTTCACATGGGTGACCACAGGAACAAGCTGGACTTGAAACTAAATTACGAGAGTATAAGCTTTGGTTTAGGCTGTGTGTACCGAGCCGAAAACGTGTAAGTAAAGCGCAGGAGTAACGGGGACCGGAACTAAGGTAAGTAATGGGGGAGGGGCGTACAGTTTTAATCAATTTTTTCCTAAACAAGGGGAGGCTCAGCGAGCGATCTGCTAGAGTCAGATTGTTCCAATGGTGAGTTGCATATGGAATAAAGGAGTTTTTAAAGCGATTTGTTATACATATTGGTATCTGAATGTTTTGTTTGTTACGAAGATTATATTGAGTGAAATCAGACACTAAGGGTGGTAACAGGGTCCTCAGATATGGGCGGGTGTGTCCGTGAACAATTTTGTAGAAAAGAATGAGAGAATGAATATGTCGGCGGTCGGACAATTTTTCCCACCCTAGTTCATTAAGAATAGATTTATACGAGGACCCTCTAATCGCACCCGATACAGTAAGTGAACATTCATATTGTAAACGTTCAATCTGATGTGAGTCAGCAGTAGTGCAGCTGTGCCATACAACATCCCCATATTCTAATACAGGCCGAATATAAGATTTATAGATTATTTCTAGAACCTTACGAGACAACTTAAATTTTAGTTTGTTAAAGATTAAAACTTTTTTTGATGCGTTAGCTAACAGCTGTAATATATGAGAGTTCCACGACATATTAAATGATAGATGGATTCCAATATGTTTATGGCATTTCACTCGCTTGATAACTTTGAACGTTGACGTCACAGGTGGGTAAAAGTCACGTGTCTTCAACACTCAGGTAAAAAAGCTGATGAAGACCGAGTGATTCGGTGAATTCCGGTGAGTCTATTTTTCTTGAGTTGGATTTCATTAGGTATTTTACCAACTCAGATTTACTTTCATGCTGAATGTCGTTTTTTTTTTATTTCAACAGTTTTCTGAGAAACGCCTCCATTCCCGAACGTGACGTCAGATTCCGGGGTGACGGCTTCGTTGACAGCCCGAACTTCGCCATCTTAAACCTGGCCTCCACCGGGACATGGCAAAGGGTAAGAACGTGAATCATTCACATTTTAAAGGGCATATATATTAATTTCAGTTTTGGTGCCTTTCAACCCAAAATCCTATTTGCAAAAGGTGATCCATTGGTTTCTACCAGTCCCGCACACGTAGGGATGATATTTGACTCAAATCCGTGTTGACGTTTGATGACTCCCTATGAGGCTGCGGTGACGCCATAGGTTCCCTTAATCAAATTTATTCTATAGTATATGTATGTCCGTCGAATGTCGTGTACTAATTTTAACAGAGTAATGATTTCATAACTAGTTAATTAGATTAAGAGAACCTATGACGTCACCACAGCCTCATAGGGAGTCATCAAACCTCAACACGGATTTGAGTCAAATATCATCCCTACGTGTGCGGGACTGGTAGAAACCAATGGATCACCTTTTGCAAATAGGATTTTGGGTTGAAAGGCACCAAAACTGAAATTAATATATATGTCCTTTAAACTTTTAGATGGAACATAAAATATCGTATTCCTTATGAAACTTGACAAACCATGTATCATTAGCTCCATATGTTTGTACAGCTATATCTGCCTCAAGAAGCGAGAAGAAGTTGAACCTGTACATAGAAGATCAAATTAGTATATATAGTATGTAAGTGTCATTGCTGTATTCTTTTTCCCTGTTTATTCATGACCTGTACTTAGCTTGTAAGAGCATAAACGTACAAGAAAGGTCTTTTATTCATACACATTATACCAGTATCACACGTAGTTCAGTGGATAACAACCCTGCCTCTGGACCAAGAGGTTGGGGGTTCGATATATATTATATATATATATATATATATATATATATATATATATATATATATATATATATATATATATATATATATATATATATATATATATATATGTATGTATGTATGTATGTATGTATGTTTGTATGTATGTATGTATGTATGTATGTATGTATATAGGGGGTCGTAGTCCTTAGGACGGGACGTTAAGTCGTGGTCCACTGTCCATTGTGCTAGGGGAATTTCCCCAGTACAATGAACCTGTAAATACTGTACATAGCGTCTTTCTTCTCTGTTACGACCAGTGGGAGATTAGCTCTTCAGTGAGCTAAAACTGGATCGAGATCACTTTCCTTTCCATTGCATGCAGATTAGTCACTTAATTCTAATTGCCAATGTGCAGCATCAAGTAACCTTAATCATATCCTGGCAACGTCGTTTAATTTTGGTTACCAGCATGCCAAAAACCATCACGCATTTTCTGGTGAGAGTGATATTTTCTTCACTGCATGAGGCCCCTTGGATAATTGAAGACAATGGAGCTTCTAAACTATTTATACTGCTATATATGGAACAAGGGCAATACAAGAACGTACTAGGCTTGTTCTAATTACAAAGCAACGACGAAGTACCCTGTAATATGTGTGAAGTGTGTCAGTGTGGCATCACTTAGATTCAATTCGTCAGCAAATTATAATAGATTTGCTTCCAAGCAAGAACGCTTGAAAACATTGCTATATATAGCTACATTATTTATTTTTTATTGAAACAGGACTGGCAATGAAAACATACATAGCCATGGCGACGATGGTTGCTGTTAGGGTTTTTGTTTGCATGTCACTGTCACCATTTTAATGATTTTGAGGAAGAATTGGTACCTGTTAAGTCTAGACAGATACAGTGCGCTCCTCCCCTCAGTGTATAGTGAACGAGCCCCGGGGTCACAGAATGTAGGGCCATCCGGGGCAGACAGGTTCTCCTAAGGGTTTCCAGGAATGTGGACATAGATGTGGGTCAGAGACATGCCTGTGGACATTCCATTCCTGTGGACAAAATGCCTGTACCATTCCTAGAATTCTTGCAAACTGTATCATTAGGCTCCTCCCTGAGACGTCGCCAAAAGCAATACAAAGACAAGGACAAAGTGGGACTGTACTCAAGTTATACATTTATTTTACTTCATGGTGTATACTTTGCTTCCTTAGACTTTGCTGTCGGAGCCATGTAATTGCATTATGCATTATCTGGTATTTTTTATCTTCCATCAAAATATCAGGTCGGGTATTATGTACAGCATTTGAAGTCCTCTGAGAAATTTATGTTCAGAAACTGAATTAGAGCTGCAAGGCGACCCATAACTCATTAGGCTAAACGACATTAATTATAGTTAAGTCGTGTTGTACCTATAATCTCTTGTGACGTACTTTGGTGATAGTTTACCAGTGCTAAAATCAGTGCTGCGATTTTTATGAATTTCATGTTTCTCCAAATTGTCGAGAAATGTTGCTCACGGGATTAAAAGCTTGTCTCTTACCCAAATGACAATATCACTTATTCTGTTTTCCGTATCTATCCAACAGATTCCATTGCAGGCTGAATAAATACTGTTGTCGAAATCGTCCCTGCAGGGAAATTGGACCTTTCATGGCCGGCTAATTATAACTTCCAAGGCCGATTTTATCCCTTTATAAAGGCTAATTTCGGCTACCTATTCAGCCTGTAAAGGAGTCTGGTGGGGACTATCTCAAGCTGTGGTCCATTTCCAAACCGGGGCCCAGTCGGGCTGTTTGCATGAACGACTCATATCAAGAACACAAATAGTGATTATGGCTATCTTTCAAATCCTGTTTGTGTTTTGTTGTCTTTGTATATCGTACTTTTCTTTCCTGGAAGATGCCTGGCCGGGCCTTGGTTTGAAAATGTTACCTTGTCATGTATCTTGAAGTATCTGTGATAACTCTGTCCAGGTTGGATCCATCATTATGAACCGGATCTCTCTGAACGGGATCATCTGGCCGGGGAACTCGTACCTGCCGCCCCGCCCGGTCATCCAGCGGCACCTGAGGGTCGTCACGATCGAGGAAGAACCGTTCGTCATCGTGACGGACAGACACCCTGTCACCGGGGACTGTATCAAGGCGGCGCTGCCCTGCACCAAGTTCGACTCCAACGGACTGTACGTTGTTTTTTTTACCTATTCCAACATTTAATAAAAATCAAATCAACTTTATTGCTCAACAACCGTAACTGATGTAACGTATGGTGCGTGAAATATACTAAAATACAATCTAACAGAGATAATACATAATGATGCTAGCTATATACTAGATTACAATTTTACAAAAGCTGATCTAAGGGCGATGTGGAAACACAGACACACACACGGACACACACAGAGACATACCCAAAACAATACCGCCATAACTCTTTCTATGTTGTCGCCGCCCTTCAGAAAAGCCACCTGACTGTGTCAGTCTATTGAAGAAGAACAGAGTCACTGGTAAAAGCTCTATGAGAGAACGATTTCCCTTGTGTTGAAACAAAAGTTTAAACTCTAAGGCTCTATAACTCTTTTCTCTCTCCACAGTAAAGAAGATAAGTGCTGTGCAGGTTTCTGTATGGACCTGCTGGAACAGTTGAAGGACGACGCGTGGTTCACGGTGGAGATTTACGTGGTGGCGGACGGGCGGCACGGGACCGTACAGAGCGGCAACTGGAACGGCATCATCGGCGATCTCATCAACGGCACCGCTGACATGGCCGTGGGTCGGTATATGGAAGCAAGAAATATACTGAAATTAATGCTAAGGTCACATTTCCAAACCGGGGCCCGACCGGGCAGTCTTATGGAACGAAAACTATTATAATTTTCGTATCTCGACCGGTCGCTACCGTGGTTCGTTCGAGCGGGCCGAGAAATTCTGAAAGACGCGGCAAATTTAGGAGCACGTGTAGATCTGCACTGCGATTGGTTACTGAGGATCAAGCCTACACTGTGATTGGCTAAGACAGGTCGTGCCCCGCCCGTGTTCACCACGTGATAGAAGTCCACTTGTACATCACTGTTGCGCAACATCAATTCATGACCCCATAGATATCTACAGAAAAATCCATAAATGATAAAAGACAACAAAGCAAAATTAATAATGGCAACTATCTGCGTATATTCTTGATATAACTTGTAGATTTTTCGTTAATCGAAACAGCCCGACCGGGCCCGGTTTGGATTTGTGATCTTAGCATAAGATGCATTACTGTTCCTAGAGTTGACAATCCAAGATCCGCCTACTTAGTAGCTACTATTTGCATGTATTCCGGGACAGCTGATGACATGGCCTTAGGTCGGTATATGGAAAAATATACTGAAATTAAAATGCCATAACGGTTCCTAGAGTTGAAAATCCAAGAGCTGCCTACTTTGTATTCTATGTCCATCTAAATACGAATGCATTATTGAACTGATCAGGCATCCAGTGCAATTTCAGGGTGAGAAAACAAATAAAAAATATTGATATTGACATTTACTGCCATTTCTTAGCACATTTTTGTCATCATTTTGAACTTGAAGCATTCGAAATAGCCCCAAATGAAGCTTCCCGAGGCGTCTTTTTATATTTTGGGTACCACCCAGCCTTAAACACAAAACAAGCAACCATTTTTTTCCCTCAGCGACATCGCATTTTGGGGTCACAGACATCAGTATGCTGTTGAATAAGGTTCATTGAACTTACCACGTAAGAAAATGACCCAAAATCCACTTTGAAAATCCAGCTTCGCCTCCGCCCTGAAATTGCATTAATAGATGCCTTCAAGTAATTCGTAGCAGACACGCACTTACTAAAACCAGTATCTAAGGCCACACCGACTAAATTTTATGGATGATATCCGCGCGCGCATTGATTTTCGCCTGTTCTCAACAAAAATAAGATCACATCCACCGAGGCTCTGGACTGGCTCTAGGCACGGGTAGTTAGCGACAATACGGAGCCGGGCACCCAGGCTACGGAAGCTCCACGACTCAAGAACTCAGTGCATACGTACAGTGCCGATTCCGCAAAAAGCCAGCATGTGCCTGCTTGTCGTATACGTCGCTACCTACTAACGCAAATTCACAATACCACCTTTGTATTCCTGTGGTTTAGTAGCATTTTTATTTTTGGCCTGAATTTTTTTTTTATTCGCGGTCTTTAGAGGATGTCTTTCATAAAATTAAGTCGGTGTGGCCTAATCGAAAATCCAGACAGACTTAGATCAAGATGTTTCATATTCCCAGCCAGCGACGCATCGTAACACATTCATCAGCGTCGTATTTCTCTATGTGATCAGGTATTATCAGCTTGTACCAAAGCCGTGATAGTTATTACATGAAGAGCTTTATTGCACGACAATTGCACATGGTACAATGTATGGCAAACTACATGAAGAGAGTAACAACGATAAAATAAGTGTATTGAATAATAATAATAATTGTTCATTGATTGATCGATGAGTACAATCTCTAGTATGTGGCAGCGGAACTAAAAAAGTAGCGCTGAATTGTATGCTAGTGTTTAAAAACAGAGAAACAAATATTGCACCGTTAACAAATAGACAAGTAAACAATTAAGTAAGACCTAATGTCGAATAAAACCTAACATATCTATATCATAATTATTCAAATAATAAGGGATAACACAAGTCTTTGATGAAGTGTTACAATCGAGTGGGCTAATCACAAGTTTTTGTATTTTTTCTAATACGACTCGTAACAAAGCATTCCTTTATATATCTACCTATTTTTGCGTTGTGGGAACCATTACATGTAAAGATATATTCAAATCTGTCTCCAACATCGAGACTCTTGAAATCTATGTTACCTGTTATTACACACATCTGTTATTTTCCCCTCAGGATCTCTGACGATCACAGAGGAACGCCTGGAGGCGGTTGACTTCTCTGTGCCTTTCATCGAGACGGGTTTAAAGGTGATGGTGGCGAAGAAGAAAGGCGTTGTTTCGCCCTCAGCCTTTCTGGGTAGGTCAATGGAGCGCTCCCTAGTATCACACAGATGCATGTTAGGCACGACTATTGAATAAAAGATCCCTATGATTTAAAAAGAAAAATGATGGATACAATGCTATCTCATTCAAAGACAAGGATATTCAATATAATTTTATTATGCCCTGTCAATATATCCACTTAGTATAGCCCAATTTATATATAATACGCTATTAAAACGAAATAAAGTAATTCATTCCTGACGCAATGCCATATTATTATCAATAGAGTTGCATTAGTATAAAACATTGGCGTTTTTATCTTTATATATAAAAGTATATCATCTTCTTACAACAGTCAGAACTGTCACCTCTTATGCCTAGGTCACATTTCCAAACCGGGGCCCGGCCGGGCTGTTTCGAGTAACGAAAAATCAACAATTTATATCAATAATATATGCAAACAGTTACCATTTTTAATATTTCACCATGTTTGCTCTTTATTGTCTGTTCCACAAGACTGCCCGGCCGGGCCCCGGTTTGGAAATGTGACCTCAGCATTAGAATTGTTAGATATTGTTAGCATCACCAGCTATGTAGAATGTAACTTTGCCATACGTTGTACCCGTTACAACTTTCATGCAATAAACTTCTATTGTCTTGTGTTGACTGTCAGAACCGTATGACGCCACGTTATGGATCATCATAGCCGTTCTCATCATTAACGTCATCACCTGTGCGCTCTGGCTTTTCGAGAAGCTACGACCTGGTCAAGCCGAACGTCCACAGAAAGGTACAGATTTGTGAAATCCATTCTGTCTAACAACGGAAAGTCCTAAAAGAATAAAGACTGATTTTAGGCCTAGGGCTAGGTAAACAACATGTTTATTTTTTACCTTAGGCCACAGCAAGTAAATTTTATGTATGGCACCCTCTGCAGACTCCAAATCTAAAGAAAAACCAAGGCATCAGGCTGTAACATCATAAGTTGTCGGTTATTAGAGTAGGGCCGTACAATTTTACAGGGGACATGCAGGACTTGAAATAGTTATTCATTGCAAATAGCGCATTGTATATGTAGTTTATTTTGAATGATTTATTTGAATATACAACACAATTCAATACAAATAAATGAAATCTTTGTCAAAAAACTGTGTCAGTTGTCAGCCTCTGTGCACATGATGAAATAATCTCTGGTCAGGTTAGCCTGGGTACCATCCTACTTGTATGCCGGGGCTCCCACACTCGCATCCCTAAGAAGTAGTCTGGAAACGGTTAGATCTGAACCGTCTGAGCTCGGTCAGATTTTGCCCGCGTGTGCTGATTGGTCCCTTCTGTCTTGTTCATTAGCCTAACGTCCTTCTCAGTATGTGATGATGCTTATCTCCTGCCTGCTCAGCAGGTATCACTGACCAGGGAAGGAGTTGTTTATTTATCTTGGATGGAGTGTAGTAGCCATTGAGAGACACTGTTGTCATGATTTTGAAGTAACAGAGCCACAAAGAACATCTTGCTTAAATAAAACTACAAGAAATTGTTGTACTCAAGGTAAATTTGTGGCTGCACTTGTCATACATAAGCAGCATCTTTTTTACCCTTACCAAAACAGCACATGGCCACGTGGACTTTGTACTGATGGGTCATCTACTAGTGGAAGAGGCTCCGCCCAGCCCTCCCCATGTGGCCTACCTCATTATGTGATATCATCACCAAGCCAAATAGATACAAGCGTTTCCAGACTACTTCTTAGGGAAGCGAGTATGGGAGCCCCGGCATACAAGTAGGATGGTACCCAGGCTATGGTCAGGTGCGATAATCACCTCATAAACCAACTCGTTCGCTACGCTCACTTGGTGGTTTCTTCGGTGGTTGTGGCACCTGACCAGGGATTATCTCACCATGTACACCTCGGGGCGGGGCATTAACCCTTTATTAAACTGAGGGTTTCTTCGGCCCTGTTCAGACGAAATGGTGGAAGCGCAATTCAGGAAAATCGCTTAACATTACATCTGGTCCACGTGCCACACATTCTTTCGGAATCGTGCCCAAGCACGTTTCGGCTAAAGTGCAATCATTGCTGTTTCATACAAAGACGCAAGGCGGCGTCGTATCAGTGTCAGAGATCGGCGATGCGCTTCCAGCGTTCTCGTCTGAACAGGGCCTGGTTGAAATTGCTTCCAGATCCCTCGAAGCGGTTCGCTCCGTTCCACGCCTTCTGGCTACTGTGGACACTCCTGTTCAACAACACCATGCCGCTCATCCGCGTGCCGAAAGGTCTAGCCTCGAAGTTTATGGTCTGCGTGTGGGCCATGTTCTCTACCATCTTCATAGCATCGTACACAGCCAACCTGGCGGCCTTCATGATCCAGGAGCAAGTCAGCGAGAAGATCACCGGACTGACTGATCCTAGAGTGAGCAAAGTCTTTTTTTTTAACTTTTAATTATGTCTTTGGCACGAGAAGGGATTTGGGTACTAGTAGTAGCTCGTCCCACTGCACGAAAAGTTTAATTTACCAAAGGTATTGAAGTGAGGTAATGTTTATTTTGTACACAGTATGTGGCTTTACAATCCGTAGTAAATAGAAGGCCGGTTATTTCATTTACAACCATTGTAGAGCCGAGTATAGTTTATTAAAAAAGCAACAAGGTAAACATTACCCAACTTTACTGATATTTACTACCATTGGTAAATCTACGTTTTCGTGCAGTGTCCGATTTATAATAATAATCTTTACACTGTAAAATGTTCAAAGCAAATACATAATGTTTACCTTCACATGTTTTGCTCTGTTTATGGTATACCGGTAACTCAAATTCATTCGTATATAATATATTTACCAGACCCTCCTACTGCCCTGCTACATAATGTAACCGAACACCACAGGGTGTCTGCTACAGCACCAGTTACCATGGTGACAGACGTCTGGTCCAGGTCATTGACCTTATTTGTTTGGCGAAGAAGAAGGGGAAGAAGACGAAGACACCGAGCAAAAGAATGAATGACATTAGGCACATTTTATGTTTACATCATATAATGTTTAATATTCGGAAGTCATTCTTAATCAATGAACGGCCAGGCTTTAATTGTACGTAAGCACCTATCTCTGTTTTACCGTTACTATTGCCTTAACTTGGAGCGTGTCCTCAAATCTTGCAAAATTGCGTAATGATGTGTCCTCGTTTACTTTTGACTGTTATTTTCATAGCATGAACGATACAAAATTCTACAAGTCATCCATCGGTCAAAAGTTTGATCTTTCGGCTCTTGAAAAATTGGATAATTCTGATGTTGAGCACGTTGTACCTTCTTACATGTTCTTCACGCTGATCTAAATAAGCCATAGTCAACAGGCTCGGCTTGAGTTGTCCTAGATCCATATAAAAACATTATACAAAATCGGCGCTACTAATGCCACACCGACTTAATTTTATGGATGACATCCCCTGAAGACCCCCAAACTAGCGCGCGCGGGCAAATTAAAAAAAAAATGGCCAAAAATTGAAAAATGCTACTAAACCACATGAATATAAAGCTGGTATTGTGGATTTGCGGCAGTACATAGCGACATATACGACAAGCCGGCACATGCTGGCTTTTTCCGGAATTTATGAATCGGCACTGAGTATGTACTTGAATCGTGGATCTTCGGTATCCTGAGTGACATCCTCCAGAGTTACCACAGGATCCGTATTGTCGCTAACTTCCATGGACTACCCAGGCCTAGAGCCAGGCCAGAGCCTCGAGGACGTGATCTCTCTTTTTTTAGAACAGACGAAAATCAATGCGCGCGCGGATGTCATCCATAAAATTAAGGCGGTGTGGCCTAATGGTTACTAATTCATACCACCGACTACATGACACCTTCGAGGGGTCTTCTATTACTTCAAAATTCACTTCACTGATCGATTGCGAGCATCGCATGACCTTTGAAACCGTTTCAAGAAGTCCATTTTAGTTTGGCGATGTCCTTCGGCGATGTTGGGCTTAGTCATAACCTTTATGATGACGACCGAGGTAGGTCACAGGCTAGGCCACAGCAAGTAATTTTTATGGATGACATCAACGCGCGCACTGATTTAATTTCCTCTGATTTTTGGAGAAGAAAACAAAGATATTTTGTTGCCCTTTGACAGTGGTCAACATGAAGAAAATGGACAAAAAGTCTGTTGCCATGCCGGAGCATGGATGACAGATAACTAGGAAGAGAGGAGACAGGACAAGGCTCTGATTTAATGTTTTATCTTTTACTTTGATGCAGTGATGTATTTCATTTCTTTTATATTTGATCATGATGTTCCCACTGAATCAAACCCATTTGTATAATGATTGAAAGCTTTAATTTTTTCTGTGACAAATGGATGTTGTAATAATTGGAAGTAAACTTTGCACAACATAGGTTTCATTTCTTCTTTATGATGTCAAAATTAGAAAATGTAGGAATCTTGTTATTTTTTTTTGGCCCGCCTTGTTTTTTTTTCGCCCTATCGCAATAGATTTGGTGTCTTGTGGAGGATGTCATCCATAGAATTTACTTGCTGTGGCCTTAAGGGTGACGGTAAACCGTGCATGATGTACGGTTTGTGCAAACATACCATGCCCCGTGTAATTGGCAGACGAGACCCGGCAATGCTTCCATCAAGTGCGGTGTTATGATTTGTTACGCCCGCTTCGACCTGGGTCACAAAGTGGCTATAGATCCTCCTACTTACATAGCAGATGGTTGAACTTTCCTTGTCTTGTCTTGTCTTGTCCTGTGGGTTGCCTAAGTGTTCAACGTTACCTTGATTGTGAACCATATAAATCAATACCTAATGGATTTAAAACATGAACTATAGCAGTAACATTTCCAAAGCAAATGCATAATGTTTTCCTTTGGACATGGTCTGCTCTGTTACTTCTGACTCAAACTAATTCACATACATGTACTACTACAAGTATATGGTGACAGGGGCAGAGCAGACCATGAAATTGCAACATTATGTAACCTGACAACAGTCACCATGGTGACAGACGTCAACAAATCATTTCATTGGTCAGGTCATATGTCACTGTTTGGAGAAGAAGAAGAAGAAGGGGAGGAAGAAACAGAGCAAAAACAATATGTTTTCCTTCGTTAAACATAACTATTTTGGTAAACATACTAGTAAAATGCTGGACTTTATTCCAACACAACGGATACTCAGAGATCAAAATTTCAACGACCACGGTTGCCTTCATGTTAATGACCAATTAATGACCAATCACTTCAAGACGTAATCTCGCGAGAGTTACGGTTACAGACTCGTGACTTATTCACACGAGATTTTACTGTGATTACTACCAACACAGTTAAACTTTCACGATATACATTTTGGAGGATAACTTTTTGTAATACGTTTTGAACTTCTGTTGTATATAAATGATGTCCTAAACTTGTCAAAGCGTTTGTATTGACCTCTGACTACTTGCTGTTTGTTAAGGTTGGATTTTAGGACCTAAACCCTAGATTTACTGTTGAAAAATCGAATCCGCTCCATCAGAGATTCGGGAATAATATCATTATCATCCGACCTAACCTCTGTATACAATGTACACTGTTTCGGTACGTAAAACCACTCTGCACTACCACTGACAAAGGCTAATCCCGCTGAAATTGGTGTATAGAGAACCTATTTCCCACCCCAAACACTGTGTCAGAACCTTTGTCGCCTTTGCCCTCAACTCAAAGGCCACACTACATATATGTAAGGCCACATCGTTTTAATTTTATGGATGACATCCGCGCGCATTGATTTTCGCCAGTTCTCTAAAAAAATAGCCTTCTCCGATGCTCTGGTCGTAGTGCCATCCTCCGTCCATGCATGGAAGCTAGTGGTAATAGGGATCCGGCGGTAACTACAGAGGATGGCACCCAGGCTGCTGAAGCTCCATGGAACTCATGAACTCAGTACAGTGCCGACTCTTATATGCCGCAAAAGTCCAGCATGTGCCGGCTTGATTTAAAGTAGTCATATACTACCTCAAATTGACAGTACCAGCTTTGTGTCCCTGTGGTTTAGAAGCATTTCTTTTGGCTGGACATTTTAAAAATTCGCCCGCGCGCACTAGTGCACTAGTGGTCTTCAGAGGATGTCACCCTTTACATTTCCCAAGATGGGGCCTGGCCGGGCAGTCGTTGGGAACAAAAATTATGATAGAAGACTGCAAAACACAAAAAAAGAGAAAATTAACCATGACCACTATTTATGTATACTCTTAATACAATTTTTTTTATTTTTCGTTCAAGCAAACAACCCGGCCGGGCCCCGGCTTGGAAATATATATGACCATGCCCTAAATTAAGTAACTGCTGAGACTGACTACAGGGTCTGTATCTAGGATTTCTTGATAGAATGTACCCTTAGGTTATTTCTCACTCCAAACTGTCAGACGGTCGCCTGTCTGGTATTGTTCTTGACAGATTTGGTACAGAGGGCGATCGTGTGCCCGCTTTAGCGTACTATAAATATATGACATGTCGGTAAAAGTTAGACATCCAGGTAATAAGATACGCAAAAAAAAAACAGTTACTCATTAAAACTGGATATGATAAGTCGGTCAGTTTCCAAAACCATATGAATACGGACCGTTTCCAAAATCATACCCAGTTGCTTGAGTCACTATTTTTATTGGCATAAAAATATATGATATTTACAATTTATCACTCTGTATATAAAGGTTCCGTATATAT